AGCCAGGCTATATAGAAATCCTATACTTTACAGAAAACAACTTGTGACAAGATGGCTCCTGATCTTAAGAGGGAATTAGGCTGGGTTTATCAGGTGAGAGCCACAACTTCTCCCTAAGACCCTCTCCTGAACCAGCCGTCAGCTCCACCCCAGGAGAAGCCTGCCTTGGTTCCTGACCTGATCACCAAGGTCTGAGTGAGTGTGCATCTGCTGGACTTAAAGCCTAAGGCTTGAGATTTTTGATTTGACACTTTGTTGGCAGTGCTGAGAATTAATCTAGAGTTGCTTGCTGTGAATTGATTCTATCTCTTGCAGTGACTAGCATTAAGGATTGTCATTTCCTTGATTAAGAATCTATAGAGTGAAATTGTATTGAGTGATTTGAGTGAATAAAGCATTGACTAGGGCAGAAACGCGTGCATATTCTTTATTTCTCCCCCTGGACGGCGTAAGTTGCACCTTTTGCTATCTCAACCCTTGTTTGTGCCTCAGGGCCACACTGGAGGGCTCTGATGTGTGCCTGGTGAGACTGATACATTGGTGTTTCCATCCACCCATTCCAGCCCTGTTTCTTTTTCTGACATTGTTGCTGTCCATGGATACATTGTCTCAGGAGCCCTGCCCCTTCAAGGTGGCCCCAGTGCCTTGCTTTTTTGTTTGATTTTTTTTTACTGGGGATTGCACCCAAGGATACTCTACCATCAAGATATATCCCCAGCCCTTTTTATTTATTTTATTAATTTTGAGACAGGGTCTCTCTAAATTGCTCAGGCTGGCCTCAAACCTGCGACCCTGCTACCCCAGCCTCCTGAGTCCCTCGAATCAGAGGCACCACCACACCCAGCCCCGGAGTCTCTTTTGACATGACTCCCATAGTCTTCCATCGGTTCTTCTTTCTAGCCTAAAGAATCATATAAAAATCTCATTTTTTTTTTCCTAATCTTAGTCCTGGCAATCTTTCTCACCTTTTAATCTCTATCCYCTCCTCTGTGTCCCTGGGAATATCCTTGGAATAAGGGATATTTGAAGTGATACAAAGGAAGAGAAAAGAGACATTTTTAAATGACAAATTTGTGGCTCAGTGGTAGAGCGCTCGCCTAGCATGCACGAGGCACTGGGTTTGATCCTCAGCACCACTTAAATRTAAAATAAAGATATTGTGTCCACCTAAAACAAAAAAATATATATTTTTTAAAAAATAAATAAATAAAATGACAAATTTACAAATTTTATATTTTATTATATATAGATGCTAAAAGGAAGTTTCTAATTTAGATAAAAGTGAACAATTTTCTATGTCCAATATGTCCTTGTTCACTTGAATCATCTCACTTCCTTTCATGGATGATGGTTTCTGGCATTTAGATCAGGAACTCAATGGGTGCCTCAGCAAGAGACATGCTTCAAACCCACAGGGTTCCTTAGAGACAGGGCAGGGGGAGTCCACAGGAAAAGTCCACCATTCCTGCCCTAGCTCTTGCTTCCAGCTGGTTAATGCCGGTTTCTTGACTTAGCTTCCCTCTGTTCGAAAGTTCTTACCAAGTACTCGAGGTTGTCGTTGATCTCGTTTAGGTAAAACCTGAACTCAGAGCCTAGAATATATTCAAGAAAAGAAGAGTTAGTTTAGAAAGGTCAAAACTTGGAAAGTTGTCATAGAAAACAGAAGGCAGGGCATCCAGACACCACTGCCCACATGTCTCTGTCTCCCTCTCCCTCCCTCCCCTCCCCTGTGCTAGGGATCAAACCCAGGGCCTCTGGCATGCTCCACAWGCTACCAGAGCTCCACCCAGGCCGCCCACCTGTGTATTTAAGGGAAGTACTTTTGATGCCTAGAACATTCTCCATATTCCCATGTCACTGGCTTCACKCATCTTTACTGTGTCTGATGTTAAGCTTGCAAACCCCCAGAATCCAAGGGTGACAGGTTGAAGCAGGTCATACCCTTGGACCTTGGTTTCTCCTGTGATGCCCAGCAGCCCTTGCCTGAGGGCACACAGGTGTTTTCTGAGCCTAGTTCCYGGGGCCAGTTCCCAGAGTTCCTGGACGGGTTGATCGTCTTAGYCCTGCGGAGGCAGAATGCTACAGAACTCTCATATATCACACGTCATGTGACTGAGTTGGCTGGAGCCAGTCTCTGCTACAGAAAAACCTGAGTCTAAGGAAGGCAGAGCAAGATGGTGCCCAGTCCTCTGTCCTATTACCAGAAGGGAGCCATGATGCAGACCCCATGGCTGTCAGCAAGGGGAATCGAAGCAAGGAGCCTGACCATCAAGCCTCAGAAGGGRGGACCACAGAGGCCATGCAGCAAATGGGAGGGACATGGAGTTTGGGGGCATCTAGGATGGGAATGCAGGGCATCTGAGSGCCCTCGTGGGGATGAATGGGTGACCCCGTGAAAGGAGCACCTGAGACGGGACATCTGGGACACCACAGGGTCTGTGGGTGCCATGGCAGGAACAGTGAACATTTTACCAGGAAAAGCAGGGGATCTGGCCAAATTTGTAACAAAGAGAGAGGTCAGTGGGTCCAAACTCCCTTTGCTCAGCCTGATAGTGACTGACCCGTGGAAGAGGGTGTCCTTTGGGAAGAGAAAGTGTTTTATGTAATACAATACAGGAGAAATGATAATTATTAGCTGCTGTGGTTTTACTCTCTGTCAGGCTTGTATTGGAGAGGCAAATCAATGATTCAGGAAAGGAAAATGGAAAGAAAAGTACTAAGGGGACTTAATTTGTGAGTATGTGGGCAGAAGAGTGGAAATTTTGAAGTTTTGAAAGCTACCTCTACAGCTGGAGTAATATGGAKAGGTAACAGACATTAGAGAACATAAAGGTATCCAGAAGGATTAAGAGAAATAAATTAGAAAGACAACACCATCAGACAGTGTGGGCAGTTTCCCACGCTTTACAGRGAAAGAGACAAAGAAGGGAAGGTGGAGGGGCCGTGGGGGCAGCAGGGACCGCTCAGGCCTACGCCGGCGCCCTGCGATCTGGTGCCCGGTCCCAAGCCCACGGTCCACTTCACGACCTTGAGAGGGGGATGAGGGAGCCGGGGGTGGGTTTGTAAGACAGATGAAGAGAAAGGCCTGATGAGCTGGACTTGAGCCTGCGCTTGTGCAGGGCTCCTGGCCATCGTAACCACCCTCCTCCAGCCAAGACCGGGTAGGTGACAGGTCGCGCAGGTGTCCCTCTCCTGTTCTCAAATGGCCCCAGGGCCTTACCTCTTCCGAGTCCCCCGCATGGAGATGACCCTCCTTCCCTTGCGATTGCCAGGGATCACCCACCACCACCAAAAACAGAGGGGGGAAATGGGGATCTCGGGAAGGCCCCCGCGCAGGGGGCGCGCACTCACGCTGGTTGGGGAAGTACTGGAAGTTGGCCTCCACCACGCGGCGGTGCAGGGCCTGCGTCTTGCGGTAGTCGTTGTGCAGGGTCTCGTTCCGGAAGTTCAGCAGGGAGTTCTCCAGCTTCCACACCTGCGGGGGACACTGAGTTTCGGGGACGGCCCTGCGCCATCCTGAGGGCCAGTCAGCGCCTGGACCAGGGCTGGGCTTCCCGGGGCTCGGTGCCAGGCGTGGCTCCAGGGCCACCGCCCGCTCGCCCACGGTCACCCCCGCACACGCTCTCAGTCTTTTCTCGGAGTATCCCGCAAATATTAGAAAGGAAAGAACTACCCGAAAAAAAACATGAGTGGCAAGACCGACTTTGTTTTTCTGAAAATAGGAGCTTTGTCCTCGTCTCTGAAGGGCCGTTTTGCTGCAGGAGAGACTCTGGGTTGCTATTCGCTCCCCTCCCACGTGGGGGAGTGCGAGGGCACCCGTCCTGCCCTCCCCGCGGCCTGCTGAGCCAGCCTTGGTCCCGTGGGACTCTCCTCATGATGGCTGTTTTCCCTGTCTCATCGCATTTTAAATACTTCATTTGTCCTTGATGTTCTGTGGTTTCTCTGTGATGTGTTCAGTGTAAGGTTTCTTGTAGGTGTGTGTGTTTAACTGACTTCTCTCGATTCTTGAATGTATAATCTTAGTGTTCTCTAATTCTTTTTTTTTTTTAACTGACATCTGCTTAGTTTTTTTATTAAGTAGAATGGCCCAGTGAATCAACTCATTAGATTGGTCAAGGCAAGACACTTGAACTACTCAATAGAATTTAAAAAGCAGTTGGTTTTGTAGTAGTCTGGTAATCTCACACACACACACACACACACACACACACACACACACAAATTGGTAGAGTACTCTGGATATTAGATTCTCCCCATAATCTTGTAGAGTGCACTGTTCACAATCTGTGGGTTTTTTGAAAATGATATAAATTGGACATGACCAAATTGGAGATGACTGATAAACTCGTAAATATTTGGGAACTTCAGCTGTATTGCCCAAAAGATTTTTTTTTWWWWTWWWAAAAAAAAAAGACTCATATAAAAACACAAGATTTAACAGACACTTTGAAAAAAATCAAATTGTAACTCAATTTTCTACTGTTTAAATATGACTAAGAAAAAAGTATTAATGTCTACAGTTAAAAAAAAAAAAACAAACTATTAACTGGGTGAATCTGGATTGGGGGAAATCTGGTTGGTATTATTGCACTCCACGGATGTGCAGAATTCCAGAACGTGCCAGCACAGAAAAACTATTTTGCATTGAGGTTTTCCAAGAGGTACAACGAGCCTGCCAAAAAAGCATCTGGTCTGTACTAACAGCTGGCTGTCTTCAGTACAGGCCTTCACAGTGTCCGTCACACTTTGCAAAGATCCCTTAATGATAGGTGAGGTTATGATGGATGAAGTGGAATTGAATCCACGTGCACACTGAGCTTCATTTCACTGTCAAGAATTTGAACAAGTTACTGCATGGATGGAAGGTGACCAGATTCCAGCTTAGACCACAGGCACGTATGGTCAGATGCCCCTGTTGACATACACTGGTTCTCATCAGGTTGCTTAAGAAGAACACCATCCTACATGCATAGACCTTGTTCTCCTGGCCCCACTGCCAGATGCTAGGAACCTGCATGCCAAAGAAAGCGAAAGGGTCCTTGCCAGCAATTATTAAGCCTAATAATACTAGTTTGAAGACTCACAGGAAAGAGGCTATGTGTCTATAAATTGGTTGCGGGAGGTAATTCTCTACTTCGATTCGATGTCTGGGTACTGCTGACTAATAACCTGCATGTACTCCTCAAACACCTGCCTGTGCCTCAGGAAATACAAATCTGGAACGTGAGCAGTGGCCCTGTGGTATACTGCATCTTTAAACCTCTTGCTGAGCTCGCAAGCCCAGGTTCTTGCTCCAGACTACCACAGACACCGCCACCAGGAGAAGCAGCAGAAGCCTCATCTTAGTTGAGCTGCTGCGGCCGCCTTCAGGCCAAGACTGGGGCTGGCCCAGAGCCTTGCCGCTGGCCTCTCTAATTCTTTTGGAAAATTGTCAGCCAATGTTTCTTCAGGTTGGTTTTGTTTCTTCCTATTTTGTCTCCCTTCTCCTAAAATTTCAGTTAGACTTTCCCACTGTATTTTCATGTCTTTTAACTTCTTTTTCATGTTCCCATCTCTTTTTTCTCTTTAGTGTAGCAATCTAGATAATGTTCTCAGCTCTGCCTTCCAATTTACTAACTCTCTCTTGAACTATATCTAACATGATGCTAAATTTATTCATTGGATTGTGAACTTCAGTTACTATTTTTTTTCATTCTATTTAAAAACCCAACTTCTACTGTTTTAAGTCTGGTAAGCCATTTTATATGTTTTTTATCTTTTCCTCACATGTAAACTTCTTATTTCTTYATATGTGTGAAATATGTTAACATAAATTATCTGATAATTTCACTGATATCTTTGTAGGTCTGATTCTGCTGACCTACACTGATAGTGTCTTTTTCTGTGTGTTTCATGATTTTTTTTTCAGTGCTGGGGATCAAACCTAAGCCCTTCCACACACTAAGTAAGGGCTCTACCACTGAGCTCCATCCCCAGCCCAAGTGTAATTTATTTGAATTGAGCTAATTCTGCTGATTTGTGGAAATTCTTAGATCTAGATTTAAACTTAGTTTTTACAGATAATTTACATTTGCTTTTATCAGGTATCTAGGGGCAGCTTCCAGGCTGGTTAGTGACATTTGTTGGGGGTGGTCCTTGAGGAGGTGGCAATTCTCCAAGGTCTAAATAGGAAGCAACTGTTTTAACATGATAAAGAACTAAATTTGGAGCAATCCTTCTTTGTGTAAAGGTATTCCTGCCGTTAGCATGGAAGCTCCATGAGGGACCCAGGATTCTTATCATGAGCCAYCATGTGCAACTCTCCCAGGACCGGGATCCGGCTCCGGTCCTTTCGCCACATCAACCATAAGTTCCTTGGATTCCCTGATGCCTCTGCTTCCCCGTCTCTGCCACAGCCCTTGTGAAATCACCACCCATGGTCACACAGGTGACACAGCAGTCTGGTGCTGGCAGATGCCGTCGGAGCCCCAGGAGTGGGCATGAGCTGAGGTCCCGGGAGCTCGTGTTAACGAGACCATCAGRGGACTAGCCCCGTGAGGCCCGGAGTTACCTGAGACCTGGAGAGCTTGACGGAATCTGCCAGCACAAACCAGTGGACATTCTCCGTGCAGGGGGGAGTGGTGAGCGACCCCTCGTAGGTGTAGTAGTGGTGGAGGTCCCCGGGCAGCATGTCCTGAATGTCAAGGCCTCTCAGAATTGTTCTTTGTCCTAAGACAGGAAATAAAGGGACAGGAGGAACCTTGGGTGGAGAGCTCAGGCTCAGGCCACGCCATGTTCAAGTGTCCTGACTGGAGCACCAGAGCGTGGACCCCAATGATTGAGACACATTCCCAGGCGCCTGCTTTTGGAAGGGTKAAGAGCAGACTTTGGGGACAGATGCACTCAGACGCCTCCTCCTGGCTGGGTGGCCTTTGTCGGGTGCTCACTCGAGAGCTGTTTCCTCTCTGTAGAAAGGCATGATTTGACTGGGGGTGTAGCTCAGGGACAGAGCACTTGCCTGGTTCCAGCCCCAGCACCACAACAGAATAACAGGGAATAACCAGTAGGACTGTGTGAGGGTGGAAAATCATGATCTTTACAAAGTGGCTGGCAGTGACCAGCCCACAGGGAAGCACTCAAGGGTGTAGCTGTCACCTTGTCATCACTGTTAGAGGATACATGTCACAATAAATGAGAGAAATGAATTAAACACTCTGAGTCTTCCGGGTAAGTGCCCTCAAGGAATGAACAAAACCCCTTGGCATGGGGTCGTGCCGAAGTGGGTGGAGGCTGGAAAGCAGAGCCAGAGCCCGGCTGGGTGCTGGCTGCTGGCATCTGGTCCTGAACTGTTCCTGCTCCATCCCACGGGACTGGGTTCAGCCACWGGTGCGGTGAGGAGACCAGCTCTTCCTCAGGGTGTCTGAAGCCTCCACAATGCCCATCACTGCACCTAGACAGTCACTGTTCTGTTCATGTCAAGGACACTGGGGGCTGCAGATGTAGCTCAGGAGTCRAGCAGAGCCCTAGCATGCACAAGGCCCTGGGTTCCATCCTCAGCACCCCAAAACAAAGCAATATGCAGAGCCCTTTAGCTCAGCATGAGACCACAAAGCAACAGGAATTTGAGGGGGGTCTGGTCCCACTCACCCTGAGCAGTTATATGCCTTTTAATGGCAAAAAGAATCAGTTCAGGGACTGGCCCAGAAGGCRGTGGGAATACAAAGTTAAGTTGTGGCTAGCATAAGTCTTAGGTCCACATGGCAACATCAAGCAGACAGCTGAAGAAAGTGATCTGGAGTTCAGAGAGAGCTCGTGTGGGGCACACTGATCAGAATGGATTCCTTAACTGGAGGAGGAAACACATGCCCAGYGATAGCAGAAGGAGAATATCTGAGGCTAGCACCCTCAAGGGAAAGCTAGAGTTGCTACAAGCTCCTGCTTTTTCCTGCTGGCATTGTTCACGGAAGTAATTAGCCCGGATGTTCTTGCATTCATCCACATTGTCACCGCATGGAGGACAAGACGGAGATTTCTGAAACCCTGGGACCGAGGTCACCAAGAGAAGACAGACCAGTAGTTAAGAGCAGGAGCCAGAGGAAGGACAAGAAAGCAGAGCTAGAGAGGCACGGTGGCACATGCCTGTAATCCCTGCCTCTCAGGAGGCTGAGGCAGGAGGATCACAAGTTCAAAGTCAGCCTGGGCAATAGAAGAGATGGTGTCCCAAGATAAATAACAAAGGCCTGGGATGCAGCTCAGTGGTACAGCGCCTTTGGGTTCAATTCCCAGTAAGAGGGAGAGGGAGAGGGAGAGGGAGGAAGGAGAGGGAGGAAGGAGAGGGAGGAAGGAGAAGGAGGAAGGAGAAGGAGGAGAAAGAGAAGGAGAGAAGGAGGAGGAGGGGGAGGAGGAGGAGGAAGGGGCAGGGGCAGTAAGAACAGAGGAGGAAAATTGCCAGTAGCTGAGACGCCAGGGATGGCCTCAGCGGCTCAGTGGGGGTGTGGTTGTAGGAAAGGGGAACATAGATGCTGGACACTGCTCCAAGGGGAGCTGAAAAGGGGTGGAATCTGAGGGACTGGTGGCCTACAGAGATTCTTACTGCGTTTGAGTTCCGAGCGGGAGGTACCTACAGATGCGTGTGCTGGGCAGAAGGAGAGTGAGACGTGAGCCATGCAGGAGAAAGAGCGGCAGAAAGGGCCCTGAGAGGGGCCCCTGAGAGGGGGCGGGTGGCACCCCTGGGAGGGGCTCTTTTCATTCACTGGGACAGAAGAGGGGACGTGGAGCCCAGTCCAGAGGCAGGTGGGCTAGGAAGAGGGGAGGGCTCCACCTTCTCAAGGGAGCGGAGGAGCTGGAGGAGCCCAGGGGCTGCAGGGAGGAGAAGGGGGAGGAGGAGACAGGAAGGAGACGCCAGGGCTGTGTTTCAGGGTCTGGGTGGGGCTGGTCCGTGTCCGTGGCTACCACGTGGGTGGCTGCGGTTCCCGCAGAGCCACGTCCAGCTCCGGCTGCAGGCTCTGAGGGTCGTGGGCCTTGCCAGGGGAGTGTCCATGGCGTGGAGGTCACAGAGGGAGTGGAGGGGTCTGCGTGGGGTGTTGGGGGCTGTGGGAGACATCTGCGTGGGAAGGCCGTGGCATCTCTTGGGCAGAGAGGAGAGGCCGTGAGGGGGGACTCGCCGTGTGCACGTGAGGCCCACGGACTGGAGGACTCGGGCAGATGGATGGCTGGAGGGYGAGGGCTGAAGGCAGAGTGAGCTGGGAGTCTGGGAGGGTGGCCAGAGCAGATGAGGTCAAGGCTTCAGAGCTGACATGGTCATAGCTCAAGGTCAGGGTTTGGCCTTGAGAAGGGACGGTGACTGAGGGGAGCGCTGCCTCCTGGAGGCAGGGGGTAGGAAGACCTGTGTGTCCAGCCGGGGCTCCACTCTGGAGACTCATCTCAATGTGGGGCTAGGGTGGGCACCTCCCGCTGGGGAACAAGATTGTCCCTGCCAGATGGGGCCAGGAGGTAAGAGTCACCGAAGTTAGGATGTGGCCAGTCGGCCGTCCAGAACGTCCAGTCATGGGACTGGACAAGTGGAGTTTATGAACAGTGTCTCAGAGGCGCTCCCTGCCAGAGCCAAGAGCAGAGATCACGGGACAAGTGAGCTCTGGAGGCTGGGGCTGGGCTCCTGGGCTGGGCTCATGGGCCTCCCCCAGGTCCCCTTCCCCTTCCCCACCTCTGTCTCACACTCACGTTCCTTCCTCTTCCCTCCAGAGGCTGCCCCTGGGGTCCCTTACCTGGGTACCTGATGTCGGCCAAGTGGGCGATAAAGGTGCTGTAGTAAGTGTTCTCAGCATACTCATTGACCTGGGGAGGGACAGAGCCGTGAGCCACAGTGGGGACCACACCACGGGCCCCATCTCGGAGCCAACCGTCTGCTTCTCCAGCTGGCAGCAGAGGAGAGGGCAAGGTGGAAGCAGCCCTGCCCAGTGGCGTCGGGGCAGACAACGTGGCAGACAACGTGGCTGTTAAACATTTCTCTTTGCCATTTTTAGTAATTTGCTCATTGCTTGCTTTAGTGACAAAGTGTACAAATTGATGACAGTCCACATCAGGCTACTGCTAACTTCATTCCAGTGAAACAGCAAATTCACCCCAATATAGCTGTCTCTCTTCCCCTCRCTTCGATTCTTTGAACATGGTTTTCTTTAATTATTTGAATAAACTTACTTTACACTACTATGTACTAACTACTCTGAATCCACTCAGTCCATTTCTATTGATTATTTTGTTTTCCCCCCTCTCTCCTAACATTGTATTTTCCTATTTCTTTGTATAGCTTTAATGTTTTTGTTGAAGATTGAATATATTAGATAATATGTGGCTGCAATCATCTGAATTATGGGTGTTTTGTTGTTGTTAATTGCCCTGAAGCTATCCGTGTGTGAGTGTGTGTGTGTATGTGAGTATGTGTGAATGTGTGTGTGAGTGTGTGAGTGTGAGTATGTGTGAATGTGTGTGTGTGTGAGTATGTGTGAGTGTGTGAGTGTGTGTGTGCGTGTGTGTGAATGTGTATGTGTGTGTGTGTGTGTGTGTGTGTTCAGTAATTTGCCGGAGCTGAATCTGCAATACACCACTCCCCAGCAGTGTATGGCAGTGGTGTCTCTGCTCATTTTTTAAATATTAGTTTTATTTCTAGGAGCAGCAGACGTTCATGGCCAGTAAAGGATCCAGGCAGAGGTCGTGCTCAGTCAGCCCCTTGAGCCCTGAGACTCCACCCGACAGCGGGCTGAGAGAGTTGGTCAGCCCCCGCGTGGGCTTCAGCTTCTAATTTCCAGCAGGCCCTGGTGCGTTCTTGTGTTGCCTCTGTGTCTCTCACTCACAGGTGTCCCCTGTACATTTCTGACTGGCTCTGCTCCACCCGGGACCGCTACGGTGCTCCTGGGCAGGGGTTTCAACTCTCTGCTCAAATCCAGGCAGTGGAACTGCTGGTTTCCCTGACCAGCCTTGATAAGGCCACCTGGCTGGCCGTGGGGATGGCCACAGACCTTACTGTCCTGACTTAGAATGCCAACCAATTTCCATGAATAGATGCCTTAATTTGTTGTCTGTCTGTGGCCCATTTCCAGAGGACTGAGATGACTGAGTGTCTTGGTACTTTTTTGTTTTCTGGGATTTGTTGTTGTTGTTGTTGTTGTTTTGTGATGCTGTGGAAAGCTCTGGGTTTGGTTTTCACAGCTTTGTCCAATTTAATAGTTACTTTGGGGGAATTCGGTTCCTGACCACTTCTGGCCACCTGGCCCTAACACCCCACCTCTGGACGGGTACTGCCCCGACTGGTTGGGTCGGAGGCTTCCAACCAGTGTGTGTCCAGTCGACCCTTCTGTAGATTCTGGGTCTTTTAAGCCCTCTTGTCCCAGTTTTCTAAGGCCCCCCGAGTTGACACACAGAAGGAGTAAGCAGGGGCTGGAAAAAGGGCCCATCTGGCCTTGAGCCAGTCCTTCCAGGACTGAGAGCCCAGGAGAGAATGAAGACTGTGCTGGGGACGCCCCTCACCCGACACCCCCCTGCCTGGACCACAGCCGGTGACAGCCAGACAGACCCATCTTCCAGAGTCCCCTGCCTACCTCCACAAAGGCTGCTAGGACGGCCAAACCGTCCGACGCGTCCTTGGCTATGTCGTAGCTGTCGTATTTCGCGTTGTAGTGGACAACGTGGATCTGTGGGAGTAAGACAGGCCAGTCAAGGGCAGTTCACACCGACTTCAAACACTTCAGGCTTCCAACACGGGAAGAGAACAGAGAGAGATGCCCCCTCTGAGACCGCACACTKTCCTGCACAAACGAGCCTGCCCTCCTCTCCTACCATCTGGGCTATGAGCCCCATCTAGGAAGACCAGAGATTCCTGCAGGAACGGAAAAAGCACAGGAGGGCTCCGGGAAGATGGCAGCCGGAGGGCATTTCCCTGACCCCCTCCCTCCAGGGAAATAAGTGGGCACAAGCTGGAGGGACCCTGTGAGGAAGCACCCTGGGTCCTCCTGAGGTATCTGGAGAAATTAGAAGGAGCAGATTAACCCTCTTGTCCCAGGAGGCCACTGCAATCATCCTGAGGATGACTCTAGGCCAAGAAGAGAGTCCCTCATGTGGAGAAATTCCGCTGAAACAGGGCTGGCCCCACCCGGAGGGCTGCCAACTCCAGGCTGCAAGACAATGAGGGCAGGGACCTTGCGGGAGCTCCCTGTAGTCAATCAAGAGTTGCTGAGTGAATGCAAAAGAAACTCGACCACAGAGTGACTTACGGTCACCATTGCACACAGTCTGTTTGGCTATTTTAGTAAAAAAAAAAAAAAAAAAAGACCAAGGAGCTTGAAGGCCAGAGGACTGACCCCGGGGTCTTCACACACCTCAATCACATGTCTGATCCCGTCAATGGTGTGCTCGGAGCCGCTGACCTCCGAGGACCCACCGCCCCAGTGGTAGTGCATCTGCTTGGCGATGTACTCGGTGCCATCAGGGGCCATCATGCGCATGGTAGGAGGCAGGTTGATCTGCACTGGAAGACAYAACACAGGGCAGGGAGCAGGGCAGGTGTGCGTGGGCAGCTCAGCCTTCAGGTTAGGCAGCTCTTCCCACCCAGGACCAGCCAGGGGCACACACAGCTTAGAGTGCTAGGAGAGGGGTCCCCAAAGAGGAGGGGCAGTGGCATGCAGGACAGAGGGTGAGGTCCAGATGGCCAGGACACCTTCCACCCAGAACCAGCAGGTCACAGGCAGGACCAGGCAGAGGCAGGTCCAGCTCATTGGTCCTGGAGAAGGGAAAGCCACCCCAAAAAATATGGCGGATGGGTGTGGAAACCAGAATTCCGTTCTCTGCCTCCGGCCAGTTTTGAAATTTGCAGATGTAGGAGTAGGAAGTGGGGCCTCCGAGGGCTGCCTTGGTTAACTTTACCACCCAGGTGAGGGCTGTTTACAAGGCCAAGTTGAGATGATGCTCTTCTTCGTGACACATTGAAATGCTCACCTCACACAGCCTTCTCGAGTTAGCCCAGCTAAGGGCCCGCTCGCCTCGGGGGTCAGGGGGCATCCCTGCTGCATGGACCAGGGAGTGGGAAACATGCTCAGGGCCACACAGTTCAACAGGCAGGAGCAGAGCTGGGCGGAGAACTAGAGCCCCATCCCCAACCACAGTCGCCAAGATGTGGCTCAGTTTGTCTTCAGAAGATAGGAGACCAAGTTCCCCAGCAAGCCAGGAACTCGTGCGTCCCTGTGGGGTTTGATGGGACTGTACCTATCAATGGATGCACTAAAATGTTAGGCTCTGGCCAGTGGAAAAAAATAAATGGTTCTTCCAGCTTCCTCTTGCCTCTCCTCCTACACTTCCTGTGGGGAGGCCACTCCCGTGGATAGCTACAGTTGTTCATCTCATGGGCTGGGACCTTGGGGGAAAATGTCATCTTTTGAAATGCAAAGTCCAGAGAGAGACTAAGGAAAATATGTTAGGATGTGATTCGGGACTTGGAAGGGGCAGGGGCGTCCATCCTGTTGGCCAGGTCTTGCTATTTGAAGTCAGTGAAGGTGGCTATAAAGGAGTAAGTCTTTTTTTTTTTTTTTTTTTTTAGTTATAGATGGACACAATATCTTCATTTTATTTTTATGTGGTGCTGAGGATCAAACCCAGTGCCTCACTCATGGTAGGCGAGCGCTCTACCTCTGAGCCACAGCCCCCCCCCTTTTTTTAATATTTATTTTTTAGTTGGACACAATACCTTTATTTATTTATTTATATGTGGTGCCGAGGAACGAAACCAGGGCCTCACACATGCTAGGCGAGCGCTCTACCACTGAGCCACAACTCAAGCCCAGGAGAAAATCTTCTTAAAAAGCAAACATTGGGCTGGGGATGTGGCTCAAGCAGTAGC